ATAATATGTTTTGTTACTTATATTTATGCTGCTTTTCGCGGAGTTTTAATGATGCAACCTTTTGTGAAAGCTGTTGTGCTATTCACTGGTAATTAGTGTGAGATGAACAAGTGGATTGGGATCGTCTAGTGACTGAATACGAACAACGTAAGTAATTGAAGTAATTGTTAATTGGACGCCCGAAAAAAATTTCTGTCTTCAACTGAAATCGAACCCACGACCTTTGTGATATTTCCAGTGTAGTGCTCTATAACGGGATATAAAGGCCCATCATGTGACCCAATAGTTCGATGCTCATTGGACTAATAGCTCATGAATTATTAATGAGTTCTATAATACGAGCTGAACTATGTTAGCACGTGGGAGAATTTTTTTCAGGCGATCCATTATATCAACAATTGCTTAGACTGCTGGTTTTTTTTTTCACTTTCAATCCACTTAGAATTTATTCACCGCATATCGGACCATAATTTCGTTACTGTTTGTTAAGCATGACTGCTCTTGATAATAACCAATCATAACACAATATATTCATTAGTTTCAGTAATAATCCCTTTTCGAAATGGCGTCGCAAGTTCTAGACAAAACTGGTTTAGCGTTTTCTGGCGGTGGAGTCCGTTCAGCAGCCTTCTGTTCTGGTGTTCTACGAAGATTACTACAAAAGAGAGTCACCATCGACTATTTGAGTAGCGTATCTGGTGGTGGGTATACAGCCGCGTCGTACATGGACTGGAAATACCGTCACGGCAAAAAGGATGATCCAGACTGGCACCATGCCTACTTCGAGAATTTACGAAAATATGCTAACCCTCTATGTGATTGCTTCAATCCAGCGCGCGGGATTGTGGATGGTGTTCTGATGGTGCTCGTTCTTTTTGTTCTTACAGTAGTACTTCCCCTACTGAAAGCATTCTCGTATGTTATTCCAATTACCTTCATCGTTGATTCCATTGTTGGTGATATTCTTCGGAACCAGTTCGAATGCCGTAAAGAAAACATAACTGGAAAAGTGAAACGAACTTGCTCTCCGAAGTCGGATCTTGCAACGTCAAACATAATCTGGATAATAATAGTGATGTTTCTAGTGTTTCTGGTTGTGCACTTGCTCGCCAAAAGAATGCATAAACGAAACGCGAAGAACTTACTAACGTACCTCTATCGCATATCAGGATTCGCATTCGCTATGGTCTTTCTCCCTTGGGTTTTGGAAATTTTTGAAGAGATCATACCCGAATGGGCCGATGTTTTGGCAGTGGGTGTGGTGTTTGCAGTTTGGATTGGCTTTCCTTCTTGGAGACACAAGGCATTTAAAACTCTCATCATCTTGGTTTACGCATACTTTGTTAAGTGGGTCGTCTTTAAGACTCCAATAGCTGGTATAAAATATGAAGAGCGACTGCACAGGGCACTGGTTTGGGTTTCCGGGGTTCTTTTGTGGCTTGTTCCGTACCTTGGAATATTTGAAATGTATGGCGGCCATCTTTTCGAAGAGTAAGTATTGATACAGAGAAACGATTATTA